AGAGCCCCTCGGGGAGCCCCCCATCGGCACACGGGGCGGTTCCGGGTTGCGAAGGCGGACTGTGCGGCATCGGGGACCGGGGAGCAGCGGCGACGTGGTGGACCGGGAGTCGGCGGCGAGCAGCGGGGAGGACACAGAGCGGCAGTGCGCCTCTGACCGCCTCTCCCCATGCAGCAGTTCTGCTTCTGCGGGGACTTAGACGGCCCCGACTGGGTGCTGGCTGAGATCAGCTCCCTGGCCGAAATCGTTAAGTGCCCGCCCCCACCCCGTATCCCCCTGCCCCCACAGGCCCGCTGCCCACCCTCCCTCTCCCGCGCAGACCCCGCTGATGCTGATCTGTGCCCAGCTTCTGCGAACCAATCTCTGGACTGCCTCTCTGCAATCCCCGCCCTGCAGCGATTTCAGCTCCAGCTCCACATCTTCCCCCCACCCAGTGAAGTTGCTCCTTGTTCAGAGCAGGATGTTTACTTCAGGTCCAGCTCTAGAAACTATATTCTAGCTTCAGCCCCAGAGGAGCTATCCCAGCGTATGGGGATAGGGGTGGAAGTGGAATCACTGAGGGGCTGGCACAGTGGTTCTCCAGGTGTAGTGCTGAGGGGTCAGCACTTGGGACTCACTGTGTCCTCTTTTCTTGGCAGCAGCCATTGGAGAAGACAGAAGAGGCATCGTGTAGGACAACGAGGCCAGAGTGAGTGAGCAGAGGAGTGGCCTCAGGCTGGAGAGGGGCAAGAGAAAGGCAATGTGGGCAAAGGGACCTCCCTGTTTTCACCAGGTAACCTGCAGGGTTGTAAAATACTTCAGATGCATTTGCTGCGCATCCATACGGACAGGCTGCGAGCACAGGGAAAAAGTCTCACCTTAGAATGGTGACATGAAATCTCCTTCTATTAACCATCACGCATTTCTTAGTACGTAAAATCTACTTAATGAAAACCAAAACATCAAACAGTGGATCGATCAAGTTGTGCCCTGGCTGCAGCAGATGCCTGACTGCACTCAGCAAACGGAAGGTGCCTCTGGGGACCAGTGGGTACTCTGGATGCTAACGCTGTCAGAGCTCAAAATCTAAGCTCTCAACAGAGAGATCTGAAGAAGTTGCAGGAAAAGAAACTGCTTTCTGGTTCCTTCAGCTTCAGGAAGCCACAGTGGCAGATGGCCAAATGTGCAGTCAGTTGGCTGCAAGACCTTTAACTCATCAGACCAACAGTTACTGCAGAAAGAAAAATAAAAATCTATCAGAGGAAGTTGTTCACAGATAAAAGTTCCATGCAAGTTTCTTTATGCTGTTCCTTCAGTTTTAACTCCATTACAAGTGATTCCAAACCTTCTGTTTCTGCAGGTCTCATTCATTCGCGTTGCTTCTCCTCTGGCATTTCATCCGCGTCCTGCACAAAGTTTCTGAAGGCTGGTTCTTCATGACTCTCCTCAGTCACTGGGGGAAGAAACGACAGTTCAGCGCTATTTCAGTACTTGTTCTACTTGTGTTACTGAAAAAAA